TCAGATTAATTTTGTGCATGGATTTTAAGGGTCACTGCAGCATTGTGCTTATTCGTCTAAAAGCACCATCTCCTCTCTCTTTCCTCTTCTCAACAAATAACTGCTCTATTTGATATCATTGTTGATAAAGCAGCCTGTCTTGGTGATAACAAACCGTCCGAAAACAAATTCCGAAAATCAGAGAACATGAAACAGTTGTCACCCTCACCCTGAGCTGCAAATCCTCTCTAACTCTCCACTTCCAGCAATTCCACTGTGTGCTTATTCTGTTCTTAAACTGTTGCGTTAATTGGTCAGTCATGTCTGGGATAAGGTCGAAAGAGAATAGTTATAACTAAGGTCTAGCTAAATCGTCACATCCGCGAAACGTGTAGATCATTGGAAGAAGACGGCTAATTACTGGGTGGATACCAAGCAATCCACTACCGACTCACCAAGAAGGGGGGCTGTCATCGTTTACGTCTAGTTAGGTGTAGATCACGTTGCTCAAACTAAACTGCGCAGTGACTATGCATCCAAGCTACCTTTCTTCTAACTTCAAGTTGGATATCTCAACACTCATTTCATCGTCACCTGTCTGTCTTCAGAGGAAACGAGAAGTCTCTGTGAGCTGCAAGTGCATACATAGGGATCCAGTATGAAATGAAAATATGCGCTGACCAAATAGCACCCGATCTTTCATGCAGTCTGCCAATTGGGTAGCTCCATGGGAAGAACGGCCCGATACCCTTCTCTTTTTGCAGACTGTTCATTCTCGGAGAGACAACGCACAGCATATCGTCTAAGTGACATTTTTCAAGTGCGACTGATATAAATTGACAGTGTCAGCTGACGAGATTCTTAAACTGCTTGTCTGGATGGGATTTATTTATATTTTAATCTACATTACAGAGTGTTATTCGAATGGATAATGCTGCATATTTGCCTTTTCATGGAAGTAAGGGGTGATTGAGGAAATTTTAACGAAAGTCAGCATCAGGGTTTGAGACTGTTGAAGAGGTGTGATGGAATAGTCAGCAGGTAGTCACGTTCCTTAACAAATGTGTGTAGAATATTTTTGTAACACACCAGTTCTGAGCACTCTAAATATGTGGTCTGTAAGCTCCTGATGCTTAGTGGCTGGCCAACTTCCCCACCTGATATTCCCTTCTCTGTACATATCATTTCACACAAAAATAAACACCTCATTGCCCTCTACCTTTTGAACATACTTGTTACTTCTATGCGTTCACGTTTCTAGTACTTATGATTAACGAGTAGTAGAAGTAGTAGTAGAGGTAGCATGTGAGTAATAAAGTGTTGCAAAATACATTGACATTGAATACAAACATTCTCCATTGTCAGTTAGTGTTTACCGAGCTAATATTTGCATGTTTTCGCTTTCTCCTTCAGTGTGTAACTGTAATTTACTCTCTCTAGATTGTCCCATACGCATCTCACCATTTCGTGATCCTTTGGATGGACACCCGAATCTCTTCTGTTTACTATGTGCCCTCACGCACTTTACATTCTTAATAGTGGTTCCAGTCTATTTACCTGCTGCTCTTGGTCTGGTTTATTGATGCAACACTTCGGTATTGCTTTTGAGAGGATGATAAACGTATAGACATCAAGTGATGTGAGAAATGTAATCACACTAATCATTGCTGTAGTGTATTTTACACAAAATGAATCGATTAGTCTACGAAAACTGACAGCATTTCAAGGGGGAAAAACAGTCATTTGGGCCGCGCAACAGTTACCGACATCGTAGCGTATGACATGAAGCCCTAAACATCTGACTCCTGTCACCTAAATGAGCCAATGTAGTCAGCCTCTAATTCTACACGTTTTATATGACAGTTAGAACGTTCGTACATTGGTGGTGCTTCTTGGTTTCCTCCTTATTAGCCTGCTCCTGAACTAATCTGACTTCAACAAACGTCATGAGTGGAGAGATGCAGTGATTTGGTATGTTCAGGGAAAGTGGGTGCCACCTTCGCTAATGAAGTTTATGATCATGTGGATTGACTCTGCTTTTTCCCTTGCACTTTATTTCAGATCTAAGAGCTGCAAACATGCTAGCCGTATATCGATCTATATTTGTTATCCCCGCTAGAAAGGTAGTTCTTTATAAAATAGAGAAGCCTACTTGGTTATCTCAGCAGCTGCTAGAGTGGCCTCAAAGTCACTCCAATGTACCACAGGCATGCAAATCTGAGGCGTTGAGTGCAGTGCAACACACTCGTCCTCCGTAGATGATTAGATACTTAGCCGACAATATAGACCACGTAAGCTTACGAATACCATTCGAAGGGAAATTGAGGTTTTGTCAGCAATGACTCCACACAGCCTGATGCGAATTCACAAGCAAGTGTAGTGGTCTGCACTTATCATCATTTCACCTGTTACTCGCAAACTCTGGGACAATACAGACCAGTTCTTAAGCCTCATCTTAAATGTAGTAGGTGAATAGCACACGTCAAACACGCATAGTTGTGCGCTGAAGATGCTCAGAATCCCGTGTTTCGTCAGCATCTTCACCTAAGAGTACTGTTTGCTCAGCCTACTCTGAGTCCATGAGGTGTCCTCCCGTAGATAAGTCAGCAGTTGAAAGTCGGAAGTACGCGTTATCACATTCATTAGCACAATTACGACAACGTTGAATAAGGGTGGTTGCATTAAACACTCTCATTGAACAGCACTTAATAGTGTTACTTCAAAAGACAACTCTCTGTTAACTGTGACAGGGTTGTGTGAGTTTGAGTAGAGAGCTTTGATCGGTGTTTTCTCTATCAGTCAGTCAGCCAGTAAGTCAGTCAGTCACTGTCACCGCACCTGATGGTTGGCGCAACCGAGTGCTGCTTCCAGGTAAGGAAATATGGGAGCATTTGACAGCTGGACAGCATACTTGTACTCCGATAGATGTTGAAAAGTGATAAATTGATTGATTCAATCCTATCCAGGCACCAGATCTGCCTCAGAATTTCTTCAAACTCAACATTTTACGGTTATCGGAAAAAGACTTCTCTCTCCATTGTTTGTGAATGGGAGATATCGGTCAACTAAACTAGACTAAAAAGAAACATATCCACTTGCTATCCACCAGCCAATATGGCAGTTAATTAATGCAGCAACTGTTTTCCTCCATACTCTAAACATTTGATGGTAGACCATGAGTGCTGCTACTTTGCATCATTTCAGGTTATTAATACCTTCCTCTACCTTCCTCATGACCCTTGTAAACGTGACATGTACAACTTGTTAATTTCTAGACTGCATATTGTACAGCTGTGCTTCAAAGTGTCCACCTCATACCTTCGCATCACGTGTTCTGAGAGTTGACGGGAAATGCACTGTTTCCAGTGTTGTTCATGTTTTCACAACTTTCTTGAATCAACCTGAATGAATGCTTAATATTTCCCTGCTTTTACCCTTAGGCATTGCATGGCTGCGTAATCCAAAATACTAGGGAAGATGTTGACCAGGCTGACTCTTGTCTATCTCTCTCTCTCTTCACAAATATGACAGGATGTTTCAAGAAGTGAATCGGTGGATACTTAGTTCAACGACAAGTCTTAGTACACTCTGATCTAGATCTAAGATTCTCAGCATCATAACACATTCCATTTAAATTGGAAGTAAATTACGAACGATTTCTCGTTGAGAAACCAATCTCCGAGACCTAGTTTGTGTAATGTTACTTTGCGAAGCTACTTTTCTGAACACTGATGATAGATTCACCAAAGAAAGGCATTTGTTGAGCTGATGAAAGATAGAGAGGTGTTGTGATAGGTATCGTTCGATCGCACTGTCCAAAAAAACTCTTCCTAACATCTACAATATTCATCACCATATGAACAGCAAACAAAAAGAGAGGAAGACAGTCATAAGTTCTAAATGAATAGTTCAATTTCATTCACATTCACAGGAATACACCACTATTCATTAAACAAAGCACAAACATGTATACATGCATTGTAAACAGCAATTTTCTAGAAGTATCAAATCGCTTCTTTATTTACAGATCTCCCCATGTATGAAGTTATTTCGTCCTGAAATTTAAACATGTGACCAACTAAAATTGGTCATCTTCATCTGCGGCCTTAATTTGTATGCAGGCACACAGAGATTCTGACTGTGCTTGGCATTCGAAGCCACTTTCTGCATCTTCTTATTCCCAACATCATTATGACTTTTCAGATAAACAGATGCAGAACCGTTCCAGTGATTGCCAGTCAGCATAACTAGGTCACCATATTTCAATCTTGTCTTGATATCTGGTATGAGAACTTCGAATGTGATCTTTGAATAGTCTTGCATATGGTGCATGATGTCAAGAGATCTAACCAGTTGTGACGCGTCACCTAGTTCGCTATGACGAGTCTGCATTAGTTCATACGCCAAACGACATAACTGAAGAATATGGAAAGAAAGTGATCACTATATATATGATGAATGCAGGCGCATAATCCTAAGTCGTCTTTGAATAGCTAACCATTTACTACTGTTTGTGTGGAGGCTTTACTAGAATATGACAGTCATTGGACATCGCAGACAGGAATGTCTGTGTCTTCATATTCTCGTGAAGATGAATCACACATTTAAAAAGGGTTTTAGAACTGCAAGCTGAAATCATTTTGAATGCCAGACAGAAATCCGCGTATAAATTTACGAACCAGTTCTCATAATTACATAGTACGACTGGTCTTCCTTAACCCGGATCAATGCACTCACACCTGATCAAATGGACGCTCGTTCCTTTCAACTCATTGAGAGTTTGGTACATTCCACAGTGTCAGATACTCATCAATATTGAGTGGACATCTGTGTGGATAATTTCTTGTGTCTTCTATGTGTGGAGACGCTCTTCCATGCATTAACAATAAAAGCCTAGTCGGGAAATTCAGCGCCAGTCACATAATCCAATCAGCATTCCGGTGTTGTAAAAGTGAGTCTAGGAAAACCTATTCGCTATATTTCAACCAGGTGTGTGACTTTATGTCATAAGCTGTTCACATTCACTTCTCGATTAGAAGAGTGAAGTGAACTGACAATTCGAAAGAAGCTGATGTATCTTGTATGTCATGTGACTGTTGTTGCATTTCACCAGTAGGCTTCCTGATTAGATTTGCAAACTCACTGTCATTTGATATTATTTTGTGACTGAGTGAATAAATGGTTAACTTTACGTCAACTTCACAGGGCAAACAAACATGGCTGCTTACATTCGATGAGAATGTGCAAACAAGAAAATCCGTCTGTGATAGTGCAATCACATCAGCAAGTGCACCATCCATTGAAGCAATACTCATGCGATTTTTCACACTAGGTGATTGTGATCTGCTTTGACTACCGTACAACGTGTAATTCGGATGATCTGTAGTGAACTGTTTGAAAACCATGGGTTCATCTGTTGCCAGGTAGACACTTCGACTATTCATCAGCAAACGTCCATTACCAGTAGTTTTCGTTGTGTTCGTGCTACGAGTATGGCTTTTCCATTTCTGGTAAGATGAAGTAAAACAAGAAAGTTCTACTGACCGTATCGAACATAAATATGTAGATAAAATATCCGAAACTGACTTTTTGAAAACAGGGGGCGGGAGGGGGCTACCAGCTCATACATGGATAGGATCAAAACGCTTATATCATCCTCATCAATTTATGCTCGAACCATCATTGAAGATTGCATTTAATAGAAGTCAATTTGCATATATACACAGAACCACTTGTAACGCTGTAGATAACTTACACCTAAATGTTATTCAACGGCTTAGACAGATTCTTCAGACGCATTGAATGCTATTTCTTGGATAGATTCATGCTCCCTAATATGTCACTGAACCACCTTATTGAACCAGTCTGTAATATAAAATACGGGATTACGAACTCACTGCACTCTCATCCTTCTGAAAGAGGGCAATGCTGTCTGAGAACTGGGAGCCTGTCGACTCACTGCTCACCGAGGCTCAGTCACTAGTGCTGCTCATCACTTCTCCGTCATGTTGTCATCCTTCTCTGTAGCTGCTTCTTGTCCTCTGAAATCAGTTTCCTGAAGTGCATCGACAGCCTGGTGTCATCGAGACCGGTCATCTAGCCCATAAAAATATTCTAGAAGAAATGAATTCTCAGTGAAAACCACAAAATGATTATTACTGAGTGTTGGTAGGCATAAACCTCGCCTGGTTAACTAGTTCACTAGTTACTAGCCGGTCCTAAGCCCGGGTAAAGAGGGAAGGTTGGGCATAGGGCTAGCAACCCTACCCCGTAAAACAAATCTAACCGCTAAACAAACTTCAAAGCACAAACAAAATATAAAAAATGAAAACAAACTTATTCCCCGCTGGAATCGGAGAGGCGAAATGACGCCAGTTGGTGAAAGCCTTCGGGAAGCCAATTGGCCGATGTGTCTTCTCTCCTTAGATGAAAGCGAAAGTAAACGTGGGGACATGGAATGTCCGCACGATGTTTGAACCCAGTAAGGCAGCCCAGATTGCAAAGGAGATGAGAAGGTATAACATCGAAGTGCTTGGGATTTGCGAAAGCAGATGGAATGGGAGTGGACTCTCCAAACTGTCAACTGGAGAATCAATAATCTACTCCGGTCACCCAGACGCCAACCACGAGCACACTGAGGGAGTGGCTATCATGATGTCCTCAAGAGCATCGAAGGCTCTCATGCAGTGGGAACCAATCTCCTCCAGGATCATGACAGCAAGATTCAACTCAAAAGGAAGAAAGGTCACAATCATACAATGTTATGCACCTACAAATAATGCAGAGCAAGAGAAAAAGGAGGAATTCTACAGACAACTTCAATCAACACTGGACAAGACGTCAGTTGGCGATATCAAAATTCTAATGGGCGACATGAATGCCAAACTGGGAGGGGACAACACAGGAAGAGAACTAACCATGGGTTGGGAAGCGCTCGGTCAGGTGGTGAACGAGAATGGAGAATTGTTTGCAGAATTCTGTTGATTCAACGATTTGGTGATTGGAGTCAGGCAGTGTGTTCAGGCACAAGGATATCCACAAAGCGACATGGATTTCACCAGACACCAGGACACACTAAAAATCAAATCGACTTTATCTCAATCTCAAGAAAATGGAGACGCAGTCTACTTAACACAAGGTCAAGAAGAGGAGCAGATGTAGGTTTAGACCAACAGACTATCTAGTGCAAGGAACCTTCCAAATCAAGTTGAAAGCCTTCAAGGAAGCTGGTGATAGACACACACAGTTCAAGTACAACACTCGGAAACTGAAGGATGAAACTACAAAGGAGATCTTCAAGGCAGCCATCAAGACAAAATGGGAGACATCGAGGGACATCCCTGAAGAAACCTGTGTGGAAGAACACTGGAAGTCTTTGAAAGCTATGTGGAAAGAAACCTGCACAACAGTATTAGGAAGGAAGAAGAAAGAAGACAAGGAATGGATCTCGACGGATACCTGGAAGCTGATAGAGGAGAGGAGGATGGTGAAGCAGAAGATAAACCAGTGCAAGGATGCTCAACGACAAGAGGAACTGAGCACAATGTATAAAACACTGGACAAAGAAGTGAAGAAGAGTGCACGCAAAGACAAAAGACACTTCTACGAAACACTAGCAAGCGAAGCAGAACAGGCTGCCGACTGGTAAGAGAGACCTGACGACATTGTATCAAATAACCAGGTTGCTATCAGGGAAGAGACCAACACAGATGAAACCAATAAAAGATGAAGAAGGAAATTTAATTACGAAAGAAGAGAAACAAAGGAAACGATGGGCCGACCACTTCAAGAAGCTCTTGAATCGACCACCACCTGCACTTCGTCCAGAAATACCACCTGCAGCCGCTGAATTACAAGTGAACATAAATCCTCCAACAAAAATGGAAGTCCTGAACGCCATAAAGCTGCTGAAATGCGGGAAAGCAGCAGGACCAGACGGGATACCGCCAGAAGCACTGAGAATAGACGCAGAGACAACAGAGGACATGCACACACCACTATTGCAGAAGGTGTGGAAGGAAGAGAAGGTACCTGGTGATTGGAAGAAGGGTTACCTTGTCAAACTGCCGAAGAAGGGAGACCTCAGTGCTTGCAAGAACTGGCGCGGAATCACTCTCCTGTCCACCCCAAGTAAAATATTAAGCCGCATCATCCTAGAGAGGCTTAAAGACGCACTGGATTCAAGACTGCGACCGGAACAGGCAGGCTTCAGGAAGTACAAATCATGTGCCGACCAAATTGCAACGCTTCGTATCATCATAGAACAGAGCGTAGAATGGCAATCAGCTCTCTACCTCAACTTCATCGACTTTGAGAAGGCCTTTGACAGCGTCGACCGAGAAGTAATTTGGAAACTGCTTCAATACTACGGAGTACCGCAAACCTTTATCCGCCTCATTCAACAACTATATGAAGATGCCACATGCCAAGTAATCCACAATGGGAAGCTCAGCGATGCCTTTGAAGTGAAGACAGGAGTGAAACAAGGTTGCCTACTATCCCCCATGATATTCCTTATTCTGTTGGACTGGATCATGCAGCAAACAGTAGGCAGCGAGAAGAGGGGGATACGCTGGACGACGGAAAAGAACCTAGAAGACTTGGATTTCGCCGATGACGTGTGCCTGATGTCACATAAACTTGAAGGTCTACAGGCAAAAACTAACAAGTTGATAGAAGAGGCAGCTAAGACGGGACTTCAGGTGAATATAGAGAAGACAGAGGTGATGAAGATACCGCACCACCACCATCAACAACAACAACAAACTCCAATCACCATCACCATGAACGGGAGAAACTTGAAGGAAGTAACCTCCTTCACTTATCTAGGAAGCACTGTTTCAACTACAGGCGGGACGGACGAGGACGTCAAAGTCAGAATCGGAAAAGCAAGACAAGCCTTCATTAGCCTGAAACCAGTGTGGAGATCTTCTGCACTCAGCATGTGGAACAAGATACGGATTTTCAACACCAACGTCAAGTCAGTGCTTCTGTATGGTTGAGAGACTTGGCGCGTCAAGAAAGGCATTTCCAATAAACTACAGACATTCATCGACAACTGCTTACGCTCGCTACTGAAGATCAGATGGCCAGAAAAAATAAACAACAAGGAACTCTGGGAACGAACCAACCAAGAAACTATCATGCAACAAATATGCAGGAGGAAGTGGAGATGGATTGGGCATGCACTGAGAAGGCCGACTGAGGACATCACGCGTCAGGCCAGTCACTCGAGTGGAATCCCCATGGGAAGCGACGAGTTGGACGTCCGAGGGTGACATGGAGGAGGTCGTGTGAGGAGGAAATGAGAGCTTCTGGGCTGTCATGGAACCAGGTTCAAAAGATTTCAGAGAACAGAGTTCACTGGAGGCGTGCTACTGAAGCCCTATGTTCCACTAGGAACCCAAGGGACTAATAATAATAATAATAATCCGTTGGTAGGCATAACTCCTCCAATCGACAGATGGATAATTTAATTCAAGTTGTCGACAGTTAATTTATGCAGGCTGATTCAGCTGTAAGCGTATAGTAGTTTCTGTGGTTGTAAATGTATTAAATACTATCTATGTGAATTTCAGCTTTTCTAAATATCTTCCTGAACGCCTTCATTTCTTATGAATTTCTAATTTATCTACTCTGATCAGTTAGGAGGCTTATTCCCCATATATCTTGCGCTTCAATTTAGTGATTTGTAAATTTCTGTATTGTTCTTGTGAATCATATTGTGATTTGCTTGTCAGGTGAAACGTTGACGAATGTAGAGTCTTCTCAGAGCCATGAACAGAAACCTGAGTGTGCTTGACATTCCATTTCCACCTCTCACAGATATCTTTATACTGTTTCATTGCTGGTTCTCACTTAACCATGAAGGGATGTCGAAAGCGTTTCGATGGGTTCTGAATAAGGCTGGGATCAGAGTGCCATTCAAACCCCACAAACTCACCAGCAAACATGCTTTGTAAGTTAGAAGACCTAATCGATCCAGGTAGACAGGATGATTTTGTTTACCAATCCGTTGCAACGGCTCCTGTGTCAAAAACACAACTCGGTAGGGCTGCCTCAAACGGAAATCTTTGCCAAATCAGGATCGGCAGATCTTGATGAGGCAAGGAATCTAGAAAACTACCGGACTGCTCTTGTGCCAGAGATTGCACGCAGTCACATTATAGGGTAGGAAGGATCGACTATGTTAAAATCTAACATGGTTGGGTGGAGGAAGATACTGATAACTGACATCTCGTTTATCACATCAACACCAAGTGCATGCAATAGGAATGACTCTGAACCTGTTCCAAACAAGTGGAAACCTTTACTACCTCTATTACAAAGAAGGATAGATAATTAGAACTATAAAGACCATGTTTGTGGAGCTACCTGATTTCACTGGGGACAGTTAGACCTATTCAACCTGTGACTACAGAATTTCATGACTTCATGACCCTCTGTTTGTCTGCTTTCCATTCCGATCAGAAACCCACTCTTGCTTTTTGAATGGGATGCATTATATCACCCACTCAATATGATGCACATTTGCTCACCTTTCATTACACTTAGTC